AGATTGCTTGTGTTACATAAACAGACACACAGATAGTGCGTTTCTCTGCCAGCTCCCACCCTAAAGTCTCCGGGGTATATCTTAGGTGTGTTCTTTTTTTTTATTGTGAGGAAGATCAGCCCTGAGCTAACATCCATGCCAATCCTCCTCTTTTTGCTGAGGAAGACCGGCTCTGAGCTAACATCTATTGTCAATCCTCCTCCTTTTTTCCCCTTTTCTCTCCAAAGCTTCAGTAGATAGTTGTATGTCATAGTTGCACATCCTTCTAGTTGCTGTATGTGGGACGCTGCCTCAGCATGGCCGGACAAGCAAGGCGTCTGTGTGCCAGTGCACGCCCGGGATCCGAACCTAGGCCGCCAGTAGCGGAGTGCATGCACTTAACTGCTAGGCTACAGGGCTGGCCCCTGAAAAAGAATTCTTTAAAAAACCTATAGTGGCTTCCACCCTACTGCCCATCAGAACTGACCTATCTCCTCACTCTGGGCATTCGGAAGCCCCCATAATCTTGCCACCCCTATCTTTCCTTGTCGTCCCCCATTAGCCAACACTTCCTGTGGCTTCTCTGGGTCTGAGCCCGTTCTCAGGCAGCCACCCCATCCAGGAGGGCTCATCCTGTTGCCACCCTCCTCCGACCGACCTCTCCAGCTCACAGTCTGATGGAGTGGATGCACCAGCAGGGCACATGGTCACAAGCACAGAGGCAGGGGCTGAAAAGTCGCCCTCAGCCCTGAAGTGTTAGAGATGGGGGGAGTGTATGTGGACGAGAGGAGGAGAATGGGAGGGATGGTGGAGAAGGTGAAGATATGGGCGGAGTGAGAAGGGAGAGAGGTGGATTCCTGGGCACTGAAGCTGAATGGACAGGTTTCATTCCCATCAGGAGCAGGAGCCGTCTGGCTGGGTCTTGGGAGGCAAGAGAGACCACAGGAGAGGCCTTGAAAGCCAGCCTAGCTTGAGACTGGAGGTGGGAATTCACTGATTGGGTTTGGAAGTAGAACCCTCACCCCCCCCACATGCCCTCCCCCTCCCCACCTCATACCCCCTCCCGCCCTCCAGGCGCCCTAGCGGGATCCCGGAGAAAGACCTGCGCAGCACTATGATGCCCTACTTCCTGCAGCAGCGGGACGCCCTGCAGCGCCGTGTGCAGAGACAGGAGGCCGAGAACAGGCAGCTGGCAGATGCCGTCCTGGCCGGGCGCAAGCTGTTGGAGGAGCTGCAGCTGCAGGGCCAGGCCCGGCAGCAGGCCTGGCAGGTGAGGGTCCCGGCCCTGCCCTCAGGTACATGTTCCCCTGCTGCGGCAGAGGAGAAAACAGGCCTAGAGAGGGCAAGTGACTTGCCTAAGGGGACAGCTCCTCCTCCTTGACTTGTGTCAGAGTCAGGGTTAACCCTCTGTAGCTGTGGTGGTTCTCCTCCATGTGACCACTGCCCAGTATCTTTAAAACGTGTACATTGGAATGACTTCTAGAGCTTTCAGCACATCTAAAACACACCCTCCATGCAACAAATGTGTGTCCTTTGAGGGTGAACTTAGTTTTTGAAAGTGGCTCAAAGTCATTTGGGGCCAAGTTGGTGAATAAGGGGGAAGAGGGTGATCAGGCTGAATGACACAGACAGCAGGTGTGGCTGCAAAATGATGAGATGGATTTTCTTACTGGTTCAAAATGCGGTTCCAAAGTGGGTTTCTAGTAGACAGTGGCACCACTGTCGGATTCTCTCTATCATTCAGATGTCCAACTTATGTTTACTTAGAGCCACTTGACAGCTCCCTTCCTGGAGCAGAGCCTCCTGTTCCCAAGGGGAATAGGTCCCTAAATCCAGACTCCTGGCCCCCCTGGTCTTCTCCTCCCAAGACCAGTCAGCTGCAGCCTGAAGGCCCTGTCCTGGCCTCAGCAAGGCCCCGAGCCTCGGAGAGCCAACAGCAGGAGAAAGGCTGGTCCTCCCTCTTGTCCTCACTCCCTCCAACCTCCCCATCTAACAGACTGGCCCTGGGGACTGAGCAGCAGGCACCAAGGTGGTCGAGACCAAGGTCCTCAGCCTGGTGCTGTGTTGTGGGGCAGCTCAGAGTTGTGTCTTGGGCACTCTTGGGGCCACCCTGCTGAGTCCTCAGGCAAGATACTGCTCTGCCATTGCCACTCCATCACCATGAGGCAGCCATCACAGCCCTGACGTTCAGTGCTTCTATTTTAAGAGGAGGATGAAGCCCCCTGTTCTTATAGCCACACCTCACCCATTGCAGCTACACATCCTAACTATTGTTTGAAGGGGGTCAGCTAGGTTGAGTATTCAGTGCTGAGCCTTGTGTGGGAGCTTTAAAGAGCTCTTTTTCACCACAATTTCCATGTCTGTAGTCCAGCTGAAAGTCCACTTAATTTCAAGGAAGTTTCTCTGCTAGAAATCTCTGGTGGGGTCAGAGGATCAGGGGCACACTTTGGGAGTCCTTATTGAAGATGGGCTCTGCTCTGGGGAAGCCCAGCCTAGGTGGCCATGGCACCCAGCCTGCCATAAACACCTGCTGAGTGGGGGAGACTTCGTAACATGCCTTTGTCCTCACACACCCTGCTGAGCCTGTGACATGAGCTAGACCTCTTCTGTATCGTTAGGGGGAAACCCAGGCCTGGAGTCAAGGACAGTAGAGGGAAAGAGTTTGGATTTCCTCATCTCCTAATTTGTCTGGTCTCTCCCATTGTCAGGCTCTCCACAGAGAACAGAAAGAGCTGGTGGCGGTGCTGAAGGAGCCTGAGTGAGGAAGAGACGGCCGGGCCTGGGAGCAGAGGGCAGTCAAGGATGAGGGCCTGTGGCCCAGCATGCTGGGCCTGGGCAAGCTGCCTCTGAGAACAGCTGAAATGGTGCCCAGTCCCTAAGCAGTGATGGAATTTGCTGGAGGATGAGGCCTGAGCAGTCCCCACTGCCACTGTGCCTTTGGGGCTCCCTTGAGGTCACACATACACACACTACCTTCAGATTTCTCCGTGTTTTCTTCTAACTTGAGGATTCTTGGCCAGCTCCCACCCTGGGAATCAGGCACCATGCCTTCTCTCCTCTCGGTTCACCAGCCCCCCCGCCTCCCCCGCCCCACCGCTGGTTCCTGAGCCCTCCCTGGGACCTGGCTTGGGGAATCTGTTTTCAATCTCCACTGATTGCCCCCTTGCTGGCCAGCCCGAAGGCCCTTGCCATGTTCTCCCCACATCCGTAAATAAACTTCCTCCACTACACTGTAATCTATGAGGATGCTTCCTCCGCCTGGGCCTCTCCCAGGCCTCTTCTGGGCCAAGACCCCCTCCTGGGCTCCTGAGGGCTGGCTCCAGCCGAGGCCTCAGTTGCAGGGCTCTGAGATCCTCCAGGCTGGGATGGGTTGGTGGGGATGTATCTGACCATCGTGCAGAAGGACAGCAAAGCCCCTTGTCACAGAAACCAGGACCCTGGGTTCCCTGAGGCCAGGACAAGCTGCCACGGGGGTGTCACTCTGTCCAACCCAACCCACCCTTTTCTTTGCCATTTGGATTAATTCTGAGAAAGGCTCCGTGGTGGGCCTCCCTCAGTGTTTGCACATGTGAGTGCTCACACACGGAGCCCTCCAAAGAGCTGGGCACTTTGTCCTCTTGCTTCTCACACCTTACTCTTCCCCAGCCAGGGCAGCAGGGCAGCAGGAGGGGCTTAGCCAAAGGCAGGATGGGTGCTTCCTCCAGACTGGAGGGTGAAGGGGGATGGGTACGGGTGCGGGCAAAACTTCTTTCCCGGGGCTGGCTCGGTGGCACAGCAGTTAAGTGCATGCGCTTTGCTGCGGCAGCCCAAGGGTTCACAGGTTTGGACCACAAGCGCGCACCGATGCACCGCTCATCAAGTGATGCTGTGGCGGCGTCCCATATAAAGTAGAGGAAGATCGGCACGAATGTTAGCTGAGGGCCAATCTTCCTTGGCAAAAAGAGGAAGATTGGCATCGGATGTTAACTCAGGGCTGATCTTCCTCACTAAAATAAATAAATAAATAACTTCTTTCCCTGGTGAGGGCCTCACCCTAACTCTGTTGGGAGAGGCTTGGTTGCGTCTGCCTAGGAGTACTGAGGGCACTCCGGAAGATATCGGTGGCCCCTGCTTGCCAACCCTGCTCCCCTGAATTGAGCCCAGTGGCTTCGTCTCTCCCCCTTGAGCTGCAGCAAACATCCAGACCCCCTCTGTCCAGCTGCAGGTCGGGGCAGTGGGCAGCGAGGGCTTTGTTTGTTTGTTTGTCAGGTCGCCACCTGGTGAGTGGGTGGTGAGGGATGACAGGGGTCAGACAGGGGAAGGTGCCAGGACACCCTCCTCCTCTCTGGCTGAGCTGAGACAGAAGCGGCTCTCAGGTGTGGGATGGGTTTTTCAGGCGGGATGTTCTGTCACTTGGAGGACAGGTGCAAAGGTTGCTAACACTGGGGACACTGCGAGGGCAGGAGGAGAACGAGTGTCAGGAGCCCAGAGGTGCTCTCCATCTCCCTGCTCTTCACAGGCCCTGCTTCCCTCACCTGCACGGGACTCAGGGAAGGGAGTCCCCACCTCAGCGCCCACCTGGCCTGCCCCAGACAGTGGGGCTCTCCTTGTCTCACGCCTGGCACCACCTCTGTGGGCTTTTGGCTCTTGGCCCTGTGCTGCCCCCACCCTTCCTCCTGATGCCAGGGCCTGAGCAGAGGCCTGCTATTGGCGGCTCGCCGGGGCAGGGAATGAGGAGCAGACCTCATTCTGGGTGACTGAGGGCATCGCGAGGCACTCCCTTCCTGGGGTTTGGCTCCTGCCCTCTGGGCCGACAGTGGAAATCACAGTCTGAGAGCTGTAGCCCAGCTCTCCTCGAATCTATTTTAGACCTGGAGGCCCCCCTTTCTGTCTAGACTCCCCCTCCTTCTCCTCCTGGCCTGTCCGGCTGATGGTCAAACTGAGGCTGGGGCTGGGTCTCCGTGGGAGAGTGAGTAGGGGCTGGGGGACCTGGGCCGGCCCCCTTGGGGAGGGCCCGGCGGCCATGTCCAGAGGCTGGCAGTCTCAGATTGTGGCCCACCCTCCTCCATCACTCCCAGGGGCCTGCCCAGGCAGCCGCACCTCCAACCACAACATCCTTTGGGGTTTGGCCTACAGAGCTGGGGCGGATGACCCCCAAATAGCCTTGGCAGATTCCCCCATGACCAGCCCGTACCATGGCCAGGCGCCCCATCCCTCGTCTCCCGGGCACAGCCCAGAGTATAAACAGTGCTGGAGGCTGGGAGAGGCAGCCAGCTGAGCCCTGAGCAGCAGCACCGACGACCATGAAGCCCCTCACGCTCCTTGCCCTACTGGCCCTGGCCGCACTCTGCCTTGCTGGCTGGGCAGGTGAGTGTCCCCAACTCCACCCCAGCCAGTGGGAGCTGCGAGGGGAAAGCACCATGGCCTCACCTTGCCCCACCCCTTCCACTGGCAGTCCCTTTGGCAGTCTAACCACCCTCCTGCAGGCTCAATCCATTTGCCTCCAGTTCTGTCCTTGTGGAGGGAGATGAGGGAAGAGCAAGCTGCTAGAAAGGCGGTGGGTGGGCGGAGGGTCCTAGGGATGAGCGGAGTGAACCTGGCTCCTTTCCTTTGCAGATGCAAAGCCCAGCGGTGCAGAGTCTGGCAGAGGTGCAGGTATGTGGTGGGGCCTGATGGGGGCTGTGCCCACGTCATCTGGTGGTGCTGCCCACTCCCAGTACCCCTCTTACCCTGGTCCCCTCAGTCCCACTCCCCCCAACTGCCAGTTCCTGTCTGTCAGGAAGGCCAGCCCACTCCTCACCTTATCCCCCCAAACTCAGAGCCTGTGCCTCGCTGCTCTTGAACATTAGTAACTACGAGACCTTTATTGAGAACCTGATCCCCGCTCCTCTGCTCCACAGCCTTCGTGTCCAAGCAGCAGGGTAGTGAGGTGGTGAAGAGACTCAGGCGCTACCTGGACCACTGGCTGGGGTGAGAGAAAAGGAGATGCTGGGCCAGGGCCCTGCATCTCTAGAATGGGCTGGAGAAGTGGCCTCCGGGTGCTGCGGGAGGACAGGATGGTCCCCCTGGCGAGGACCCTGGAGCCCCATGTGCAGTGAGAGGAGGGGTGGGCATTTTGCATGGAGGCTGATGCCATTGTGTTGGGCTCTCAGAGCCCCAGCCCCATACCCAGACCCCCTGGAGCCCAGGAGGGAGGTGTGTGAGCTCAACCCAGATTGTGACGAGCTGGCTGACCACATCGGCTTCCAGGAGGCCTATCGGCGCTTCTACGGCATGGCCTAGAGCTTGCAGCCCTGCTGGTGTGGCTTGCAGCCCCCAGCTCTGGCTCCTCTCCGGCACCCCTTCCCCTCCCATCGCCCTGACCTCCCTGCCCTGCAAGATGGGGTCTCCATCATCCCCAGCTGCTCCAGAATAAACTCCAGAAGAGGAATTGGTGGGGCTATCATTCTTTGTCCATCTATGGAGTGTGGGGGGAAGGATGGGGGTTGGAGAGGAGGTTTTACTTTTTTCATTCCCAGAAAGTGCTTCCTAAAGTCTTTTGTTGATTGATTGATTTATTTGTACCTGCCTTGTTCCAGAAGCATTGAAGCTGGCTTCCTGAAGTCTAACTAGGGTTGCCCCTTCTAGCCCAGCACCTCTTCCCCCACCTCAACCCACTGCACCATCCGTGACACATCCAAATAGACCCAGACCCCAAAGGCCTGGACACCTTGAGTACACATAGCTGTGACCAGGACAGACAGACTCATCTCTACAGGCAAAGAGCTGCCAGCAGATGGTACTGCCTGGTTTAGGGGGGTGGGGGTCAACAGTGGGCCTCCCCACCTGGTTAACGAGCATTCAGGGTAGGCCTAGGTTAGTCAGGTTAGTTCTTCCCTGGGCTGAGCAGAGGCTTCCAGGAGCACCAGAAACAGGACCAGATGAAAGGGCCCCAACACCTCCCCATCCCAGCCTCCGACAGTGGTGGGGCAGCTCCAGCCTGGACACACCCGCCTCCCCTCTCAGCCCCTCAGCACTTCCCCCAGCCCCATCAAGAGCACCCTCACTGACCCTCCTGCTCTCTGCTGCCTCCGTCCCCCCAGCCCCTCTCTCCTCTCCTCTGCCTTCTTTCCTCTGCACTCTCTCCTCAGCCACTCTTGGTTCCAGGCTCAGATGTGCCCGCACCTTATCAGGCCTGGGTCTGGGCTCCTCTACAGCACCAGGGTGGTCTCTGCCTCCCTCCAGGGCAGGCTCAGAAATGGGCAGGATCACTGCTGTCTGGCCTTTGTACCCCCCTCCAGCGGGCCACCTTGCAGCAGGGGGCATGTTCTGGGACCCCGAAATAGGGAGGCTGTGAAGGCAGCAATGATGAGCAGGTTCCCAGCTACTGCCATGCCCAGTGTGGCCACCGTGCCCACCAGGCCCAGGGGGGGTTCCTGCGTGGCCAGCCAGGCTCGGCGAGATCCCATATCAGCCAGCACCGCCTCCAGCTGGAAGTGGGTGCCCAGCACTGCACAGATGTGGAATAGCTGGTGGCTGTGGCCTGTGGGAGGGTGGGGAGGTCAGGGCACATACTCCATTCCCAGGATTGCCCCGACTCACCCTGTGACCCATGGCAAGTCACCCCATCCTCTGGACCTGCTACTTCCCTAAAATTGGGAATAAGAAAGCCTGATTCCCAGAGTTATTGGAAGGAGTGAATGAGCTGATATGCATAAAGCTCCTAGCATACATGCTACTAGTTTTGCTGTTATCTGAGAAGTGGAGTTTGGGCCTCGACCCTGAGGACCCTTCCAGCGACACTCTCCTCTGGCTGTGATACTCCATTTACCCCATTCACTCTCTGTGCTCTGGGAAGCTGTCTCCCCTCGCCCCTTCCCGGATCAGGCCAGGCCTGCTCTCACCAATATAGTCAAAGCGTCCTGGTGCCAGCCGCTCAGGCAGGTGGGAGGCGAAGAGGAAGCCCGTGAGCAGGGCGCAGAAGAGGTGGTAGCCATGGCTGGTGCTCAGCGCCTCCTGCCCGCAGTTGTGGCCCCTGCCCCAGCACAGTCCGAGCTGGCAACGGAAAAGCAGGGCTGGTGGGAAGGGGCTTTGGGAATGGACACGGATGTGTCTGGAATCTGGTGAGGATGTGGAGGGGGTAGGCATAGCCAGGCCGGGTCCTGGGCCTGGAGGGGGTGCAGCAGGGCTGAGGTCAGGCATCGAGGGAGCAGGACTGACAGTGGGCACTGTGAGGGTCAGGACAGGAAAGCAGGGTCCTGGGCAGGGGTCCCAAGCACCCTTACCCGGTAGAAGAGTGGGAGGTTGTCGAACAGGAAGGGATAGGTGAAGGCGGCTGTGCGGAGAATCTTACTGAGCCCAGGGCTTTCTAGCTCGGGGAACCTGGGAAGCAGGGGGGCAGGCTGGTCACCATCCTTGTGCTGGTGGGGGAGGTCAGAGGAAAGCAGGGGACCTTGGGCCAAGATGGAATGTCAGTGTAGCTCAGTGGCTACTAAAGCCCTTAGGGCACGTGAGCCTCTAGAAATGACCACATCTGTAAAATGGGGATAAAGACACCTGCTGCTTGGTGCCTGTGAGAACTAAAAGACAGCGCAGCTTCGGCGGTGGGGCACAGGGTCTGGCACACAGTAAGCCCTCAACACGTGGTCCCGTTGTTACTAACGCTCAAGAGCAATGAGGCGCAGGCACACGATGGCTGGCCTCCCAGCCATTCTGGCTGTCCGTGTGTTTGGGGATGCCCTGTCCCTCCTCCTTTCCCTCCACCACTGGCCAAGAACCCACCGGGAGTAGCAGGAGAGGCCGGTGCACAGGAAGGAATTGAGTGCGGCGGCGGGCACAAATAGCTGGTGCAGTCGGCCGTGCAGCCAGGAAGCCGGCATGGAGTACGCGGCATAGGGGAAGGCGCAGCCTGGTTGGGGGAGGCGCGGGGCGGGAGCTGAGGCCCGAAGTGCGCGCTGCGGACAGAGCCCCCCGCGCCGCACCCCCACGCCCGCCCCGGAACGCTCCCACCCCCGCGCGCCGGCCGCCCGTGGGGCTCACCCAGGCTGTAGAGGCTGAGAGCGCCGTAGTCCAGGAAGTAGCAGATGTGACGCGCGCGGGGCGACATGGAGCTGAATGTGTGCGCGCAGCACGACGCGAAGGGGTAGAGGCAGGCGGGCAGCAGGAAGATGAGCAGCGGCCAGTGGTATGGCTCCGCTCCGAAGCCCGGGCCGCCCGCGAGCTCCAGAAGGCGCCACAGGAAGTACCTGCAGCGGGCATCTGCTCAGGTCGCCGCGGAACCCCGCGACTCCCGCCGCAGCCTGCAGGCCTAGTCGGTCCCTGCCCGCCTGAGTACCCTCTCTGAGCTCAAGGCCGCGGCCTTGAGGTGAGGGACACAGCCTCCCTCACCAGGTGGGCAGGAAGTGAGTCCAGATGTTGACCGTCTCGTTGGTCATCTGGAAGGAGCTGAGGACACAGTCCAAGGCCGAGCTGGTGGGGCGGCGGTAGCCAGACATGATGCCATCTTCCCAGAACACCTACGGAGTGGTGGGTGGGAGGGAAAGGAGGGGAGTCACTATGCTGGACCCTTTCTCTCCATGAGAGATGGCGAGATGCAGGGTTGAAGAGGCTGGAGTCACAGTGGCCCTAAAGCCAAACTAAATCCGAGCCCCATCTTACCACAGGTTCCAATACCCAGACAGCAGATGAGAAACAGAAGAGCTAGAGTAACGGGACAAGATATGATGGGGCTGAAATGGGGGGGGTGCAGCGGGCACAGACAGGGCACTCTGGGGAAGGGGACTCTAGATGGAGGGGCATTCTTGGCTCTAGGGAGTGGGTCACAAGTCTGTTTCTTAGAGAACAGAGGAAAAGTCTCACACTGGAACGGGGAGGGATACGAGTTAGCCTGCAAGAGGGCCTTCCCCAGTTGCTGAAGGAGAACCTCTGCCTCAGTCAGTCCCCTGGGGAGTAGGAATTGGTGGGTCGAGGCCCTCACCGGGGGGACCTGGTGGATTTGAAGGAGTTGGGGCAGCCTGAGACTGAGCATGGTGGCCCGACACCTCCACGTTGACCTAGAGACAAAGTGGGGGGAGGAGGTGGGTCAGGTATCTGCCCTCATCCACAGGCCCCATTTCTCCCAGGTCCAGGCTAGGCCTGGTCATGGAGTCCCAGGGTGGGTTATGTGCACGCACATGCGTGTGGGTGGTAGCTGGCCACCGAACTGCTTCCTTCAGGCCAGGAGAGGCAGGCCTAGCTTCCCCAGTCATTATATCACATAACCCTGACCCCTCCCCATCTGAGCCTGGGGGCATTCAGTTCCCCCATGGAGAGGGGCTGGTCAGCTCAGCCTAGCATGGAGTGGAAGGTCCTCCCCCGCTGGAAGGCTGTCTCAGTTAGAAACCCCAGACCCTGGATCCAGACCCCCTAACCCCCAATTTCTGTCTCAGAACCTTGACTCATGGAGGTCAGCACAGAGAGAGCTCAAGCACACCCCACCGCCCACACCACCAGAAAGCCCCTTGGCCCACAGTTCCTGGGCTGAACACAGAAAACTCATGGCGCTCAGGAAGAATTCCTGGAGATGCCAGATACCCACCAGTGGGGCAAGGAATTAGGGGGATGCCTGGCTCTTCTCTGAGGACTACACTTGTGCCCCTGGGGCCATTCGGGGGTTCCTGTCCCTCCTAAGCCCCGTGCCCCTCAGCCCCAGACCTGTGCGCTGCCTCCGGGTGGCCGCGGCTCTGCTTCCCCGCCTGCCTTTCAGGCTGCCTCTCCCAGGCACATTCCTTGGCACAAGTGGAGGGGCTGGGCCAACCAGGCGGGTGGAACTGCCCCAGAAGTAGGGAGAATAGGACACTCCCCACACCTCCCCAGGCCAAAACTTTCCAGCAACACTACAGCCTAGCCCCACCCCTTTTCCTGCTGCCAGCTTGTCCAGTCCGTTGTTTGTGCCGTACACACACTGGGCCTCACACCACCAGTTGGTCCCCCAGGCCTCTGCTCCTGTTATTCAACAGTTTGGGGGCCCTCTACCCCTGAGCTGGGTGCTGGGGTCCCTGCCAGGCACAAAGCACACCTGGTCCCTCGTCCCTGCACCCTGGCTGAGCTTTACGGTAGATGGATGAGGCCTCCCAGGGTATCCCCTGCCCCCTCCCAGGCATGGATGGGGTGATCTGACCTATCTTGAGTGCTGCTGCCCAGCGACCTGGAGGGGTGGGGAGAGGAAGATGCCGGGGTCTAGCTCCCCTCAGGGTCCCATCCCTCGGCAGTAAGGTTTAGAGGTTTCTGGAGTAGAGTGTGTGCTGTAACCATGGAAATGGGAGAGGGGGCTGGAGCAGGCACTTTACTTCTAGTTCCCCAGAAAGGGTGTCAAAGCCCCAAGTGAGCTTTCTTACCCAGAGCTTGACGGGAGCTCCTAAGCCAGTGGGTCAGCGGGCCTGGGGCTCCAAGGGTGGAGTCCCAGGCTCCTGCCAGCCAGGCCGACGGGAAGGAGAGAGTGGTGAGCAGGCGGGCCAGGCCTGGGCAGGGAGTGGGAGACAAAAGGGTGCCAGGGAACAATTCCAGCCTTGTCCAGCCTCCAGGGAGCAGCGCAGGGTGGCCCAGCCCCATTAGCAGGCAGCTCACTCGGCCTCCTGCACACAGCCAGCCCCTCCAGCTTAACCCAACCCTACTGAGATCAGACTGGCCAGAACAGGCTGGGGCCCTAGCCAGGATGCAGCCAGAGTGACATGGAGCAGCCCTCGGGCTGGGCAGCGCCACAGTTCCAGGGTTCCAGATTCTCCCAGGAGTTGAGGGTGGCTCTGCCTTAGGCTGGGCAGAGGCCAGAGCAAATGCTTTGGTACACGGTTCAACCATGAGGGATGTGCCAAGCTTATTCACTCCCCAAAAGCACACTTGATGTGCCAGTCCTTGCAGAGGGACAGGGATTGAGGACTCAGAGACTGGTTTCAAGGCTCACCCCCACCTCTCCCTTGAGGAAGTTTCTCCCTGATTCAGAGGACCCAGGTGGAGACAGCAAACCACCCCCAGGCAGCACTGTTGCTTTCATAACATCGTTTTCACCTATCACCCTTGCTAAGTCACCAACTCAGTTCACAGGGTCAATGAACTTGACAATGTTGATCACAAAACTATCTCTGGAGCTTTTGCTTGATTTGCCGGCTTTTTGCTTTGATGGATCAACCTCGAAATGCCATTTCAGCATATAATCTCCAATGTCCCAATAAAATTGTACAGAAAGGCAGCAGGTGACAGGGAGTGGGCTTCGGGGGGGTCTTTATTAAGTGATGCTTTTGTCTCAGTCTCTGCCAGGGACTGGGAGTGGGGGTGACACCACTCCCCCCAGGTTGTCCCAGACTTGCTATCTTAGAGGAAGAAGGTAGGAAGCCTGCTCTCCTCTCAGAATAGCCTGGGAAGCCAGGCTATGCTGCAGTGGGGACAGCAGAGCTGAGAGCCCCCACCCCCAACCCGAGCCACAGGTACAGCCCAAGGGGAGAGGCAGAGGCAATCCTGACCAGCCCCTCCCACACACAGCCCTGCTCTTGCTGCTCCACTCACTGCCCTGAGCTATTCATGATCTCTGCTCCCACACAGTCACCTCCACGCTCCAAAAGCTAGCCCAACCTGGCCTTTAGTCCCGGGGAAGGGCAAAGTAGGGAAGCCCATCAGGACAGAGGGCCCCTGACCCAGCAGCTTCAAGGGGCCTCTCCTTTCTGCTGCCCACCCAAACACAGGCCCCTTCCTAGAGAGTAAGGTGGGGGGTGGTCTCAGACTGCACCCCACTCTTCTCTTACTGGCCTTCCACTCTGTCCCAGCACAGCAGCCAAGAGCACAAAGCGTGGTGAACCCTCACTGGCATACAGACCAGACTGCCTGCAGCCATTGGTGGGGCCTGCTCCCTGCCCTGGAAGCCAGACAGAGGGAGACAGAAAGTAGAAGTGGGGCAACTGGGTGTGTGGCCCCTGCAGCAGGAGGAGGAGATGCAAGCCCTGCCCTGTTATCAGTGCAGGCAGCTCCAGGCCCCCCTCTTCTTCAAGAGTCCCCAAGGCTCCAGAGCTGCCCAGCCCCTACAAAGGGAGATGAGAGGATGCGTGGTTCTCAAGGAGAAGGGTCTGCAAAGAACCATCCAGATATCTGGTGTTACCAACTCTTCCCCTGGGGCTGGGGAGTCCAAACTCCTGGCCCCAACCACCTTGTGTCTTGGATGAGGAACAAGGGCCCCTTCTGCTGTCCCTTCCCCAGAGGTCCAGGAACCACTCCAATGAAATGGAGACACCTGTGCCTGCCACCCGCCCCTGGGGACAGCAGGGAGGTTGAGGCAGGAAGGCTGGCTAGGGGCCCACAGGCCTCTCCTGCTCCAAGCACTTTCCTCGCTTTCCTGACGTCATCTTGGCAACAGGGGGACCCCGCCCTCCCAGCCAACTCCTGGGCCCTCCCCGCAGCCTGTGTGCAGCTGGGCTTCCTTCCTGTGTGCGTGCGTGAGTCTGCGTGTGGTGGGGTGACTACAGGTGCTGGTCCTGGCTGCCAGGGAGGGCAGAAGAGATCTGGAGTCAGCCCCACTGCAGGGCCTGGGGGTCAGTCTCAACCAATCTCCTTCCACTGCTTGTAGAAGTCCAGAACATTCTTGATGTCCACACTGGCGTGTGCAGCGGCCTGCAGGGCTGCCTGTGGAACGGGGGGAGGAGGACAGATGGGGGAGGGCCTGACCTTTTGAACTATGGGACAAGTCATTGAGGGGTTGGGGAAGGGGTGAGGGAAGAGGAAAAGGGCAACTGTATGGAGGGCCTGAGGAGGGAATCTAATCCAGCACCTCTTCCCCATCCCACACCAACCCCCACCTCACCCCATGACCCACCTGCATAGGGCCTGAGAGCGCACTGGGGTTGTCCAGTGGAAGGCCCGTGACGATGGTCACCATGCCGCTCGGGTCCTCCTCACCTGCCCCCTGGGCCAAAGTCAGCTGTTTGCAGCTGTCCAGGATCTTATAGAGAGTCCTAGTGGGGAGGAGGGGGTGGGTAGGCCAAGCCCCAGTGTTAGCATAGCCTGAACAGCAAGATCTCCAGGGCACAAGGGGTGCTGGGGGTGGGGAGGGCACTAGGAGAGAGCAAGAGAAACCAGGCAGCCAGGGGCAGTGGGTCCTGGAAGCTGGCCCTGGAGGATGTGCTATGGGGAGTGGGCAGAAATGCACCAAGTGAGGGCACCAAGCCCAAGCATCTCAGGGCCACAGGGGCTCCAGTGCTGGAGCAACTTCTTACTCCCTCCAAGGTGAGGCCTGCAGGGGACACTGGCAGGCTGAGCATGGAGCCCAGGCTGGTCCCGCTACCTGTTAGGAGAACTCTCTGGCCCTGTCCCGCTCTCCCAGAGTGCTCATGGAGGAGCAAAGCAGGCAGCCTATCTGGGGTTCTAGGGGCGGGGACTGAAATTGTACCAGGCATCTGCATCCTGCCTCTTCAGCTTATGCCGCTCAAAGCTCTTTCCCACCTCTTTCTGGCAGCGAATGTACCTGCAAAGGAGACGGGAGAGTGGAGGTGAGGGGCAGAGGAGAGGGAGGGTACCTCACACAAAGCAGACCATTGTGGCTCAGGGGGCCCAGTTTTACACGAGGGGGTAGGAGACACATCTCTCCCATTGCAGGTCAGTTTGGAGACATTTCGAAGCAGCTTCCTGGCCGCTTTTCCTCCTGATAACATCGATTCTTTGGTTCCTCCCAGGGGAGGTGCTGGGAGAGGAGAAGCAGCAGATGCTTTTCAAGTCAGGGCATCTAGAGACAAAGTCCAAACAAGTAGGCTCTGTGCAGCTTCCTGGCCAGGCAAGGGGCAGATGCAGAGGAGGGGCGAGCTGGCTAGCAGGGCAAGGGGGGAGCGTTCTCCCTCTTCCCTACACACACTGCCCAGCCCTCTTCCTGTCCTAAAGGCCAGAAGGAAGGGTCAGTGCTGGGCTGAGCACCTGCATGCTGCCATCTGCTGGTCCCTAGATGGCTTCAATGGGAGGTGGGAAGCCCCCAGGCAGCCCCGACGAAGGCACTCCCACCCTGGTAACCCCATCACTGGTCTCAACCCTAAAGCAGGAGAAACTCCTGCAAAGAAGCCCACAGCCTGGTGTTGTGGGGTCTGCTCCCCTCTCCTCGCTGATGCTGATCTCATGTTTGCCCCAGAGGCAGAGGGACAGCAGGTCAGTGCTCCCCCACAGGGCTCCTGGCTCCTCTGATGACCCTCTATTTCCACACCTAAGACCCTGACTTCTAATTATGTCTTCAGTCTCCCTGCCCGGGCAGTGAGTGAACTGTGAGCAGGGACTGCAAGTGTGTGTCTTATCCACAGGGAGGAAGGAACACATAAGCAACTGTTGTCTGGGAGACGGACACAGGACTCAGCACAGGTCCAGCCAGGCCTGCACTCACCTGTTTCCTTTTTTAAACTCTGCCTCCAGGTATCGGATCCCATCTCGGGCCCCTGGGTGTTCCTTCTTCAGCAAATCCAGGCCATCGATCACTGGTGAGCAAGGTGGGAGTAGAGAAGGACAAACAGATGAGCTCAGACTGCTGTGACAGGGGGCTCTACAGGAAGTATCTGAGCTCGCTCCAGTACACACTGCAGGAAGAGAAGGGACCATGGCTCCCTATGGGGCTTCCAGAGTCCTTTGAAAGTGTGACCTTCTGCCAGCAACATACTTGGCAATTTACCAAGTGCTTTCACTTAGATTTTCTCTTCTGTTTCTCCCAACCATCTTGTGAGGCAGGGTTTAACAGCAATTGTTATGCCCATTTCAGACGAAGTGACTGAGGTTCAGAGAGGTGGTAGGACTTGATTAAGGCCACTGTGTGTAACCTGGGCCCCAAATAAGGGTCTCTCAATGCCAAGCCCAGAGTCTCTTTTAGCCACACTCTATCCGTCCCCCCACCTCCCCAATATGCTTACCTGTCCTTGGGATGATGACAATGAACCGTCCACTGGTGGCCAGCTGGCGGATGACAGGGAGGTGGTGGCAGAGGGCCTGGGTGTCGGGGACGAGGTAGGGAGACATTGCCGACTGGGCCTTGGGCTGCTGCAGGCTCCCTTCCAGCTGAGAGACCTCAAGCTAGTGAGAGAAGGCAGAGTGGGTGGGGCTATGTGGGGCCCCTGCAGCCTGGGAAGATGGGAAAGAATGGTACTCAAAGTGGCTCTTATGGGGCTTCTCC